CAAAAATGTTATCATCTCTGTTGAAAGGTGTCTTTTTTTCTACCCTCAACCAGAGGAAACAGTACAAAAATAAAGTTCAATATTACATCACATTCCTGCATGCAATGTATTCATTTTATTTACAGTAAAAAAACCTGTTCCAAGACATATTTTGATGCAGAGTATAGTATAACATATCTGACTATAGCAATGTTATCTTGTCATAGATTGTTATATGTATTGAGTAAATGATGTTGATATCAAATACATGTGTTGTCTCTATGGGTCAGGCTATTAATTAAATAAATATTCTGATACTTCTGATTAACATAAAAAATGGTTAGGGAGTTTCTGGTTTTTCTTTCCAGAGACATTGGATGCATGAAGAATACCGATGGGTTAGTTGCCTGTGCATAAACGCCAGTGTTATAGTGATATTTATTCTTTTTTTTTTTTTTTTAATTTCACTTTTTCTTTATTTCTGAAAGTAAACGTGTATGGGATACAGAAAAAAGAAATAGGTGGCATTCAATACATACACAATAGGGTCATCTAACAGTTCGTGCTATTACACATATCATTTTGTTCCTTGGTGTGATGTCTGCATCGTTCCTGGGGCGGTTTTAATAATATGTGTATTCCTGTATTATTTAATCGGATACGGGGCACTCTTGTTATAGGTCGTCGGAAGGGTCGGTATGCAACTAAGTTCGGCAACGGGCCGTGGGTGAGAGCATGAAACAGGGGAAGGGGTAGGGGCTAGGGGTGTCCTGCCTCTTACATCAACTTAATATAGTAGTGAGTGTGCCTTGAGCGGCGTCTACCAAGGTGACTCAAATTGGGGCTGTAGGTCGCCAACATGCCTGGGTCTTCGGTGCGTTACTCTAAGGGCATCTAAGTTCCCTGCACTCCCAAGGGTTTCTCCCAGTATTCCGTCCAGGGGCTCCATCTTTGGAGATGTATGTGTCTTTTCCCCAACATTGACCAGTGTATATCTTCCATGCCTCTTGTGTGATCTACCCTCTGTATCCACTGTTCTTTGGTAGGTGCGGTGGTGGTCCACCAATATAGGGGAATAAGAGCATTGGCTTCCCCTAGTAGGAGTTGTAGTAATTGTTGTTTATGGGACTCTGGGAATGTGCGGGGCCAACCTAGTAGGATCTGTGATGGGGATAGGTGTGATGGTGGTTTTAGTATTTCTGTGATGGTTGAGAGTATGAGAGACCAGAATCCCTGGATATCTCTGCAGCTCCACCATATGTGTTCCATGTCGCCGCGGCCATTGGAGCATCTCCAGCACAAGCCGCTGATGGACGGCCAGATTGAGTGCAACTTATCTGGGGTTCTGTACCATCGGGTGACCCTTTTATAAAATGCTTCCTTGTGTGCTACGCTAAGCGGGGTTTTGATGCCTGTTTCTAAGATGTTCGACCAGTCTTTGTCAGAAATGTGTATACGGAGGTCTTTCATCCATTTCTGTTGGAATGATAAGATTGTGGGTTCCCTTCCGGTGTCTTGCAAAATGTGGTATATTTTGGATAAGGGGCATTTTGGGTCCCCCTCTGGGCCGCAAAGGGTCTCAAAGTGTGTGTCTGCTCTCTGCCTCCAGTGGGGTAGGACCGATCTTCTCAAGAAGGCCTTAAGTTGTGCTCTTCCTATTACCTCAAGGAGTGTGTCTTGCCTAAGTGGGTTGTTTATAGCCTGTATAATGGGTGGGTTGCCCCCAATCAGTTCTGTTATCTTTGGGGTGGGGGAGTCTAAGAGGCGGGTAAGGAGTGGGCCCCCGTGGCCCCCTTGGAAATCAGGATTGGCCGCTATAGGGAAAAACCGCGATATGCCGGGTGATAGTCCCCATATGTCTTTATACTTTCTCCATATAGTCAGGATGTTATGTATTAATGGATGTTTCGTAGGGGTGTGCGCTGTGGGGTGGCAGGTTTGCCAGGGCAGGGAGTGTAATGGGACAGAGACAAAGCTTTGTTCCAGGGAGTACCACGATTTGGTCCTGGCGGTGTCGGTCCACTCTTTTAATCGGGTAAGCAGCACCGCTATATAATATTTGTAGAGGTTGGGTAAGCCCAGTCCGCCTCTGCCTGCAGAGGAGGTCAATGTAGTGTAGGCAATTCTCGCTGGTTTATTGCCCCATATGTATTTGGTAAAGCATGTGCGTGTTTGCGCGAAGAATGTACTCGGGAGTGGGATAGGCAGTGCCTGGAAGAGGTATAGTAGTTTCGGGAGGACCATCATCTTGATGATGCTGATCCGCCCTATCAAAGAGAAGTGGGGTAGATCCCATTTTAGGAGGTCCCGTTTGATGCCGTCTAGGAGGGGGGGATAATTAAGTCTGTATTGGCTGCTTGTGGAACAAGCTAGTTTTATACCCAAGTAGGTCAGTCCTGTCCTAGCCCAGGGGAATGGGTGTAGCCTTTGGAGTCGTGTTTGTAGGGTTGGGGGGACTGAGATCCCCAGAATCTCACACTTATCTGTGTTAATCTTAAAATTCGAGAGGGCGCTAAAGGTTTGTATCTCTGAGTTGATTCGTGGTAGTGTGATGGTGGGGTCTGTGATTGAGAAAAGGATGTCGTCCGCGAAGGCTGACACCTTCACTTCCCCTCCTCGGTGGTGGTAGCCCTTTATTTCACCGTGTTTCTTGATTGCATTCAGGAAAGGTTCCATAGCCAAAACAAATAAGAGGGGCGACAGAGGGCAGCCCTGTCGTGTGCCGTTGCTTATTGGAAACGGGGTGGGGAATTGTCCATTTATCCTGACGGTGGCCGAGGGTCCCCTATATAGGGCTTGAATCCAATTGTGTAGTCTAGGGCCCACTCCCAAGGCCTCCAAGACCCTGAACAGGTATGTCCAGTCTACCCTGTCAAAGGCCTTTTCGGCGTCTATTGCCATCAGCAGGCTTATGGATGATGGTAATGGATGCCCGTAGCATCGGGGGTGGCAGTGTGGAGTCAAGTGCGAGGCCATTCAGCGTGCGTAGGAAGTGGGGTGCTAGCTCTTGTTTTAGGGTTCGGTAGTATCTGGCTGTCAGTCCGTCTGGACCAGGGCTTTTACCGTTCGGGAGTGTTTTGATTGTGGAGAGGAGTTCTGCGTGTGTAAAAGGTTCGTCCAATGTATGGATCTGGTCTACTGGGATCCTGCAAGATATGTTGTCAGAAATGTAGTTCCACAGGGTATGTGGTTGTGTCGTCGGTGGGGTCAAGTTATAAAGATCAGCGTAAAAAGTGGTGAACGCCTTAGCTATGTCTTCCGTGGTGTTGTGCTGTCTGCCTGAGTCGCCCACTATTTTATTTATGAAAGACTTTTGCTGTTTGGCTTTCAAGGCTCTAGCCAAAAGTTTCCCACTCCTATTTCCTTGTGCGTAGAACGTCCCCCTTGTCAGTTGGATAGATCTGTATGCCCTAGTAGTCAGGAGGGTTCGGAATTCAAGTCGTAGGGCTGTTAATTTTTGGAGGTTGTCATTCGTGGGGTCTTGTTTATGGCGGGTCTCCGCTGTTGTTATATCTGCTGTGAGCGCCTCTAGTTTGTGTGACCTTTCTTTTTTAAGTCGTGCGCCCCACTTAATAAGTATACCTCTGATGACTCCCTTGTGGGCCTCCCACACCCAAGGATCTGACACCTCAGTGCCACTATTCTCCTTAAAGTAGGTCGCTACAGTCTGCCGTAGATCCTCCAATACTCTGTGGTCGTCTAGTAGGGTTTCGTTCAGGCGCCCCTGTGTAGTAGGCCTGGACCTATCCTGTAGTGTGAGAGTTAAGAGGATCGGGGCATGATCCAACCACGTAATGTTGCCTATGGATGCGTCCTGGACCATGGGGAGGTGTCTATGGCTGACCATGAACATATCTATTCTGGAGTAGCTTTTAGCTGTCTGAGAGTAGTACGAATAGTCTCTGCCTTGAGGGTGCATGATCCTCCAGCAGTCAGATAATTGGTGTGCGTGTAGCACGTTAGTGAACATCCTCCTTTGATGTCGTCTGGTGTCTGTAGTGGTGGAAGAGCTGTCGATTGAATGGTCAAGGACCATATTCCAGTCTCCGCCCACCACTACTACTCCCTCGGCAAATGTCTCTAACTTTGTCACACATGATCGTATGTAGGAGGTCTGGTCTGCATTAGGGACATAGATGCTAGCCAGAGTTACCAAAGTGCCATTGTACATTCCTTTTACAAAGACAAATCTGCCTCTGGGATCAGTTCTAACTCCCATTTCTGTGAAGGCGGCTGTGGAGGCTATGAGTATTGCAGCGCCTCTGGATTTCTTTTGGGTGTTGTTACTGTAGTATGCTAAGTTACTACGTTTATAGTGGATTCTTGTTTTGAACTCTCCCCTGAAATGCGTCTCCTGCACGAAAATTATTTCGGCACCTCGTCTATCTATCTCCTGTGCTAGCATTGTGCGTTTCATGGGTGAATTGAGACCCCTAACATTTAGGGACATCAGTTTGGTTTGAGTCATGGTGGTAGGAACGATGGTGAGAGTGTCTCAAATAGGACATGGGGAGCACCTGTTGGTAGTACCTTTAGTACGATAGTAATGGCAGGGGTGTTTGGTGGGAGGTGGACGGGGGATAACTGTAAACTATGTACATTAAAACAGTAGATGAGAGCCATCTCTGGCGTTGAGATTGGCGCTACACTTGTGGATAACTCGCTGTGTCCACAAGTGGGGTTGTGGCGCCTCTCTGGGGGGTGGTGGCCGGAGCACCCGACCGGGTGTATCATAGGGGGGGGGAGGGGGGGGGGTCTCACAGGGCGTTGTAGAAGTGATACAGCCTACCTCCTCTACCCTAGCCAGGGAGGTCAGAGGTGTGCGTCGGCTAGGGAGTAGAGTGTGCCCTGTGAGCCCGGCCGTTTGAGGCCCTGATGGGAAAGTTAACCTTATATTTTCCTCGTGAATTCTAGGGCCCGGTAACGGCAATGTAACATGTTATTCATAAAGGCATAACCAAGTTTAACACAATATAACATTTCAACATTTGCATCACAGTGGGAAAGTAATGTCAGTCCATTTACTGGGTGTACCGCAGTGGATACTCGCATGGGAGGATTAAGAGAGAAAATGGTAGATAGGAAAAAGAGAGAGAGTCTGATCATACGACCGTGTACTGCTCATGTCGGTGCTGCGTCTGCTCTGGGATGGTTCTGTCTACGACGTTTTCGAGGGGACTTTTGCCACTTAGGATTGTGCGGAGTCCGTCCCACTGATGTGCCTCTCAGGCCCGTCCAATCCTCCACCTCGGACGACGGTAGTTTCAAGGCTCTTTGGAATTCAGGTATGTCGTCTGGTGAGGTTATAGTGTGCGTTTTGTTTTGGAGTGTAACTGTGAGAGCGAACGGGAAGCTCCATCTGAATTTGATATTTCTCTCGGACAGGGCCTGTGTGATAGGTCGTAGTGCACGCCTAGCTTGCAGCGTGGATGGCGCTAGGTCCTGGAAGACGATCACCGGGTGTCCGTCGATCTTGATATCCTTGTTCTGTCGGGCTTTGTGGAAGATTTCTTCCTTTAGGGGGAAGTTATGTATGCGGCAAATAATGTCCCGTGGTTTATCTGGAGGCAGGTTCCTAGGTCTGGTCGCTCTGTGGGCTCTATCAAATAAAATGGCAGTGTCCAGTGGTCTGGTTAAAATGCGGTTGAAAAGGGCTGTCAGAACCTGCACGGGGTTTTCTGGGACCCCTTCTGCACTCTCAGGGACACCTCTCACCCTCAGGTTATTCCTGCGTCCTCTGTTATCTACATCTTCAAGCTGTCTCTGCAGGTACCTGATTGCCTCTGCGTGTGTCTCCTGGGTAGCATAGGACTCAGCCCATTGTTTTTCAGTAGTTTCTGCCTCTTCTTCCAGAGCCTGGACTCTGTCCCCTAGCAGCTGCACGTCTGCATTAACAGCCTGTAGCTTCTCACTGAAGCTGTCCTCCAGTTTCTGAAATAAGTCTGCCAGGTCGGTCTTGGAGGGTAGTTGGGTCAGCAAGGACCGTATATCTTGTTCCTCTGTGGGCTCATTTGATGCTGTTGGGCTCGGGGGCTGGCTGCCTCGCGTTTGTGCCGCGGGCGCAATTTTGTCCCGTCTGTGTGCTTCCGTGTGATCGCCGAAAAAGCGCCGCAGGGAGGTTTTGGCTGCCGGTGTTTCGGAGGCAGGAGCTTGCCCCGCGGTGCTGCGGTGTTTTTTGGATGCCATTGTTGTCAGTAAGTGCCGTTTGCCCCCCTGATTACTCGGTCTGGGTCCGGAGCTTCGCGCTCATGCGGCCATGTCCGTCGGCTGTCAGGCCACGCCCCCCTTATGCTTTTTTTTATTGTGTATCCTGTTGATTAAAATACTGTAAACGACCCCAAAACACAGATTTCATAAACAGTAAACCACAGGTGCTGTAAAATGTTAACAATTGTAGTAACCAAATAATATATTATTTAACCAAAACACGGTGGAGTTTTTATTTTTGCCATCTAGTCGGCCATTAAAGACAAAACTGCTAAATATAATTTTACAGTGAAATATATATCACAACGTAAGAACATTAATGTGAAAACAAAAAGAACATTATAAAGCAGTACAACCCACAATGACTATTGTTTATATAATCATACACAACCTTTTGTTATAAAATACCAATGTATATGCCAGCACCATATTTTAATACATACCTTTGATGAACTATCATTATTTCATGTTTTTTTCTTATTTCTTTTAAATTTTCTTTCAATTTTCCAAATTGTGTATATATGTATTAGTACTAAAATGTAGATTTAATATCTATATAATATTACATTTAATGTATACCAGAGCTTTTATTTCTGCTGTCTTACCTTTTGATGGGAGCAGGTATTTATTCTTTGTCTCATGGGAGATTTCAAGACAATGTGCCAAAACTGTACCCGAATGCCTCATATATATACATAGGACTGATTTGCCAAGTACTTCCTGTTTGTTTCCCCAATGGTGATGTCGCGAATGTGAATTTTTCGGTTCGCGAACGGCGAACGCGAACTTCGGCAAATGTTTGCGAACCGGCGAACCGGGCGAACCGCCATAGACTTCAATGGGCAGGCGAATTTTAAAACCCACAGGGACTCTTATTGGTTGAAGGGGGGGGGACCTACTCTCCTCCCCCCCACCGGCCCCCACCCCTGAGCGGTGGGTGGGGGCCCTAATAACAATAAGGGGGGACCTATTGTCCCCCCGCCCCCACCCCTGCGCGGCAGGTGGGGGCCATATTGATAATGAGGGGGGGGGACCTACTGCCCCCCCAGCCCCCACCCCTGCGCGGCGGGTGGGGGCCATATTGATAATGAGGGGGGACCTACTGCCCCCCCCGGCCCCCACCCCTGCGCGGCAGGTGGGGGCCATATTGATAATGAGGGGGGGACCTACTGCCCCCCCGGCCCCCACCCCTGCGCGGCGGGTGGGGGCCATATTGATAATGAGGGGGGGACCTACTGTCCACCCCCCCTTCGGCCCCCACCCCTGGGCGGCGGGTGGGGGCCACAAAGATAATGAGGGGGGGGACCTACTGTCCTCCCCCCGGCCCCCACCCCTGGGCTGCGGGTGGGGGCCACAAAGATAATGAGGAGGGGACCTACTGTCCTTCCCCCCCGGCCCCCACCCCTGGGCGGCAGGTGGGGGCCACAAAGATAATGAGGGGGGGACCTACTGTCCTCCCCCCCTGGCCCCCACCCCCAAGGCGGTGGCAGGTGTGGGGCCTACAAAGATATTTGAGGAGGGACCTACTGTCCTTCGCCCCCACCCCTGGGCGTGCAGGTGGGGCCATTAAAGATAATGAGGGGGGACCCATCACCCTTCCCCGCCCCCACCCCTGGGCAGCGGGTGGGGGCAACAAAGATAATGAGGGGGGGGAACCTACTGTCCTCCCCCCTGGCCCCCACCCCTGGGCTGCGGGTGGGGGCCCTATGTAAATCCCCCCCAAGGTGACTAGGGGTCCCCAAGCCCCTAGTCACCCCCCCCCAAATAAAAAGTCCCTGCCTACCCCCCGCACCCTAAAAAATAGTGAGGGGGGAATAAAATAACTAACCTGTAAAATAAAAGTAAACTTACCATTCAACGTCTTCTTTTTTCTCAAATCTTCTTTTTTCAGCCCCCAAAAAGGCCAAATAAAAAACCATCATAACCGTCGAATTGAAAATAAAATAAAAATCCCGAGCGCAAAAAAAAGCCATCCAATCACAGTGCTCTGTGTCATTTTACACAGCGTGGGAAAGTTCTTTGGAATTTTCCCAATCTGTGTAAAATGACACAGAGCACTGTGATTGGATGGGGGGGATTTGCTTAGGGCCCCCACCCGCAGCCCACGGGTACAAAAGGCACATTCTGTAAACATGTGTACTCATAGTCATAAACTTCCTGAAACATCATATGAGAATGTAAGTCGTGTGTGTGTAGTCTGTGTTTAAACAATATTTTACATTGTGTTTCAAATATAGTTGGGGAATAGTGATGTCCCGAACGGTTCGCTGGCGAATAGTTCCCGGCGAACATAGCGTGTTCGCGTTCGCCAACGATGGCGAACATATGCGATGTTCGGTCCGCCCCCTATTAATTTACTAATACTAAGTAAAAATTAAATTGTGCCCCTACTCGCAATAGGGGCAATAGGGGCATGTCTATTAAACAGTGAGCAGCCAATAGACATGCCCCTACTAATAGACATGCCCCTACTATTCGGTGCAATTATTTAGGTCTAACATTTGAAATTTACTTTGAAATTCCAACAGCTCATCATTAAGTAAATGACAAAGTGGCAGCAAGAAAATATTTTTTTTACAGATTTAAGCTTCACTTTATTATTTTTGGATACACTTTTCAAATGACAATATTTTTGGATAAACAGTTAAAATTATATTTTCAAAATATTAAAATATAAAAAAAATTATCCTTTGTAAAATGATATCAATATATAAAAAAAGTATTAATAGAAATATTGAAAATTAAAATATTTTCAAAAAATTAGGTCAATTGAAAATCTTATCCAAAAATATAAAATTGAGGCCATTTCTAGAAACATAGAAACATAGAAACATAGAATGTGACGGCAGATAAGAACCATTCGGCCCATCTAGTCTGCCCAATTTTCTAAATACTTTCATTAGTCCCTGGTCTTATCTTATAGTTAGGATAGCCTTATGCCTATCCCACGCATGCTTAAACTCCTTTACTGTGTTAACCTCTACCACTTCAGCTGGAAGGCTATTCCATGCATCCACTACCCTCTCAGTAAAGTAATACTTCCTGATATTATTTTTAAACCTTTGTCCCTCTAATTTAAGACTATGTCCTCTTGTTGTGGTAGTTTTTCTTCTTTTAAATATAGTCTCCTCCTTTACTGTGTTGATTCCCTTTATATATTTAAATGTTTCTATCATATCCCCCCTGTCTCGTCTTTCCTCCAAGCTATAC